ATTATAAATTGTATATTGTGATTTATAAGTATATAAACAATCTCTTCGTAACAAAATTTATTTGCACAATAAAATTTATACAAAAGAATATATTTTTGTATCACATTAATATTCAGATTTTAATAAAGAAATATTTCTTTATTAAAATATATGTTTTCGTATTAAATAGAATAATAAATTTAAATAATCTTTTTACAAAGATTTTTTTTTAAAAAATTCAAAAATATTAATAAAAATTATATATAATTTTATATTATATATAATATGTATATTAATATTATATATATTATCCATTAAGATTTAAAGTTGTTATGTCAAAACAATAATTTATTTATAATATATACTTAATTAATAATTTAAATAATAATAATAATTAAATTATTTTATTATTTTTCTTAATATTGTAATTATAGAAAAATACTCCAAGAATTTGTTTAATATTTTTTTTGTTTTTTTAGGATTTACAATGTTATAAGATTTTAAAAATTTGAATTATTTATAATAAAATAATTTTTTGTTAAACCAAAGAAATATCTTTTATGTTTAATGTTATTTATTTGTAATGAGCATCTATATAAAGTGTATTATCATAATATTATTTTTTGATAAAAGGAAAAGCTATTGTCAAATTTTTTCACAATATTTATATTTTTTTTCACTTTGATAAATAATAAATAATAAATAAATTATAAAACTAAAAAATTTAATTGATTAATCTTTAATGAATTAAATTTCAATTATTATAATTTTAATTATTTAAATTTTTTTAAGTTTTGATGTTAATATTTAATTCAATTATTAATACATTATTCATATATATGCAATATATATAATATAATATTTTATATATCTCAAATATATTTTCAAATAACATATTTTTAATTTTTTATACAATATTTTATATTTTCTATATAAAATTTTTTATAAGCATCATCAAATAGATATGTATAATTATTTCGAAAGAAAAAAAAATCAAATGAAAAAAAAATATGCATAACGAGATTGATGTTTAATAGCAACATCAAAATCAGAAAAATAATACCCTTGTACTAAAGTCTATTTTTAGGTACGGGTCAGTTGCATGTAGTAGATATATATACATATACCGGTTAACCCCGTAAGATGGTTCACTTACATTACATCGCTCTACGATTACACGTATACACATTAATCTAAACAACGTGAACACGTGGAACACTATGCTATGTAAGCCAGTTTTATAACAAGATTTTAGCTTTTTGCTCGATAATAAGCATTATTTGCTGGATCAATTATGAGACTAAAACTTTATTTATTTGTTCATTATTTCAACAAAATTAAAAAAAAATATTTTATATAATTTTGCACATTAAGAATATTAATATTAATTACATTCCAATATCAAATAAATATTTAAGTAATTAATTAAAGAACTTGATTCAAACATATTATTAATTCAATGTGTAAATTATTATATCACATATATTTATTAGTATTTAATAATTAATATTAAATAACAATTAGTCAATTAAAAGAAAAATATTCAAATTATATACATTTTTATATATTTATTTATATAAAAAATATAAAAAAATAATGTCCGAATTATATACATTTTTATATATTCATTTATATAAAAGAATAAATTTATTTATACGAAAATAAATAAATTTTATACTATAATAGTAAAACTTATTATCAGATTTAATGAAGAAATTTTATTTGAAATTTTTAATTGCAATAATTGCTATGAATTAAAATACAATAATTATTAAAATGGAATTTTGTCATCAAAAAGTTGAAATGAATAATAGTTTTATTTTCGCATGCGACCATGGTCACCAGATTTCTCAAGTTTTTCATCGAGAATGCGCGGCCCTGGCGACTGGAATGCGGGCGCGGCGAGTCCTCGATGTATGAATATACGCATACACATAGTTGATACACACATTTAAGAAACTTAAGGGGCACTCACATGAGGACAATATAATTTCAAAAATGAAAAATATTTATCAATATATCAATATTTCTATTTATATGAATATCTATTTATATTTATATATGAATTATATATGTTAATTATTAGAATAAAAAATTTCGTTTGCTATATATAAATTCGCAAAAAATATGATCTTTAAATAAAATAAAGAAAATGCATAAAGCACATATAATTTCATATATATACACTCGCTATTTTAGCACGTGTAACATGCATATAACATATACATTGAAAATGGCGTACCTGTCTCTAGGATCGATCCACGTTGTTTTTCTTGTGTTATGATCGATGAAATACACTTTTCCATCAAAATCTTGTGCGACGTCCCACCCTTCCGGAAGCGGTATCTCCCCATTCCGTCTCCTTGGCATATTTCACTGCGCTCTAAATCCATCCAAAACTCTCTATCACCGACCAGTCGACAGGCATATATCTGTGCGCGCGAGCACATACTCCCCGTGCCACATACACGCTGTATTGATGAAAGAGAAAGAAAGATAGCCAATGTAAGATAGACAAAGAGAAACATTCGACATTGGTAAAGAGAAGACACACATAATAGTAATACACACTGATATGCCAATATATAGTAGAATGGAGATAGAAAGAATGTATTGCATATCACTACGCACACATGCATAATATACGTACACATGCAAAGTACACATTCCGTCGAAAAGAAAGAGAAAGAGAAAAAAAGAGCAGAGAAGGAAAGAATATGTATGTATGGTGTGTACGTGTGTGAAAAAGAAAGAGAAGGAAACGTCACATGTATAATATATATATATATATATATATATATATATATATATAGTATATACAATTGTAGCATACCTTGTCGCTTATACACGCGCGCACACACATACACATCATATATCACATACGCGCGCATTCTCTCTCTTTCTTTTTTTTCATGTACTACTCCGCCATCATGAATACCTCATTATCATGAGCGGAGTGACGTCAGAGTCCCCGCCTTCAGATTCCTCTCGAGCGGAATTCCACCGTTAACATAGCTGGCCGTCAAAGAAAAGTCCACTGTTGATATCTTGCCTTGAGACGATATCGTGGTTCTACATTTGTAGGAACATATATAAATGCCCGTTACATTATTGTAACATTTTTTTCTTTAAATTCCGCACTGTCACTTTGTAATATCGCAGAAAAAAAAAGCACAAAATTTTTTAAATTATTTTCTTCACACCATTAAAAAAATTAAATTTAATAAAAGAAAAACACTTTCACTGTTCTTGTCGTCTCACTTATAATGCACTTTTATTTACACTCTTATCCTCTATTTATCTCGACCTTGATTTTACGTATCATATGTAATGTTCTTTTTACACCATTTTTCGATTTTTATTGTTCTCACGCAATTATACTTTTACACTATTGAAAAGTAGATTCATTCTAAATATATTTATAATATTGTTCCAATACATAAATACCAAACATTTGCAAATATAATTCAGATGTAGATTCCATTGATAAATTTAAAAACAAAAACTAGTAAATTGTTCCGATAATGTAGGAATCACGTTGTTCTCCTTTTCGAGTAGCAGAAACAACGACGACTTTCTGAGAGCAGAGACAGGGCAGCATCTGCGGCTGCGACCCGCTTTAAGAAATGCACAGTAATGCCGGTACTGTCGCGTACTTACATTTCACTATGCTCCCTTTTTCTTCTTATATTAAACTTTGCTTTGTCGTCTGTAAAAGGCACTGCAAATCAATGCGATGTTTCTTCAAAGGAATGTCAGAATTCGCCTTATGTTCCCCCACGTTATTTCATTCCGTTTTTACTAGCAGGACACTGTTACGATTACTGTAAGACACTTTTGCTCGTTCATATGTCGAATTAAACATGGCTTCGTAAAAATTGCACACTTTGTCAAGTCCGTTGTTTCAAGTGCAAAGAATACGCGCAAACTACTCTTTCGTTTCAACGATATTACAACCTCGCGCCAACTACAAGCATGTTGAGTGTTTGAAACATGCCACTGAACGTTCATACCGTGTGCGCTTGGCAATGCTTCTCACTCACTCTCTCTTCCTCTTCGCCTCAACGCGTACATCGATGAGAACGTAATCCCTTCCCAGTTTCATATTCTCTTTCTTCTTCTCTCTTTCTCTCAAATTACTCTTTCCACAGACTGAAAGCTCTCGTGTCTCTGACCGCTGTGCACGAACGACGACGGGAACAGACGAACGCGATGCCCTTTCAATAGTTTCGCATATTTTCCGTTATATTACATTGGTGGCACCACTATACAACTTCTATCGCAGGTGTACTCAAGATTATTGAACATCCGGGACGAATAAGTAAACTGATGGTAATCCGTTGATGTTCTTTAAAGAACGTTTCATAAGCTGATGTGGTATTCGCATATATTGCTTCCTTTTTGCTTTTTTTATTATTATTTTATTTAACGTATAACTTCCAAATGTTATCAGAATTATTAAATTTTTTACTTAAATTATTTATTATTGTTTTTCTTTAACATTAATTTAATTATATACATTATTTGAATAATTATATAAATATTATTTCACATTTTTACGATTTTATACAATTATTAAAATTTTTGTTTTATTATAATTCTAAAAATAAAATTTTAATATTTATAATATAGAAATGTATATTTATATATATTTGTAATGTAAAAATATATTTTTAATATAATTTTCATTCTATCTAAAAATATGAATATTTAATTATATTTAAAAATATATTTGATTTGTAGAAGTTTGTATTTCCTATTTATAGTTTCTATTTCTTTTATCTTATGTTTTTAATAAAAGAAATATCAAAATTAAATGAAATTAAAATATAATGTTTCAAAATATTTTATACGTGCATTCAATTTTATAATTTGATATAAATTTTATATAAATGTTATAAAATAAATATGTAATTGTTACTCTGTTAAGCACGTGACGTAACATATACATAATATATATATATATACATATATAAATGTATACATATGCATTGTACAAATATGGACGAGTGTTCTTTAAAAACGATAACCTTCTTGATTCAAATTTTATAAAAATTATACAAAAATTAAAATAAGAATTATATCGTAAATCAATTATACACAAATCTAAAGTTATATCTAGATTATTTTTGATTAGAAACAATAATTTAGTGTTTTATATTAAGTTAATATGGCTACATCCGAGAGTGATGACTTTGAAAGTGCTGACGAAGAGATGAACCATGATATACCAACAAAGAAATGTATTCAAACACAATGGAATTTACCAACAACAATAGATTCAGAATCTGATGATGATACAGAATATGTACCTCGACAACCACATACAAATATGTCTTTTGGTAGAGAGAAAGAAAAATATTGTTCAATGATAGATACAGCAATTGACAAAAAAAATTTTGATAAAAATATCAATATTAATGATACATATAATTATAAACATGAACAACCAATTATAAATGTTAACAAAACTTGTGATAAAATTGATGAAGATACTATAATTCTTAATTCACAGAAAATAGAATATCTACAGACCAATATTGATACTATAAATTTAAAAGTGGAAAATAATAATAAAACAATAGAATTAGATAAAAATGAAATAGACACATCTCTTAAAATGAATATTAATATGGAATTATATTCTGAAACATCTAAACTTAATGAGAAAGAAAGAATTCATAAAGAACAAAATTTATATAAAAAGAAATTAGGAACTAAAATCATACCAACTAATAATCTTACAACTAATGTAATTAACATGAATACAAATATTAATGAAAAGAATATACCAATGACAAAAGAAAATACTATGTTTGATAAGACTTTTATAACAGATGAAATAACCGAATCAGAAATGCCAGAAGAAATGAAATCTAATAAAACATTCAAAGAAATATTTAAACCCCAAGGTTGGGAAGGACTTGGAGATGCAATTGAATTACCAGAGGAATTAACTGAAGAAAAATTGCAACCAGTATTAAAAAGATTATCATTATCTGAACAAATCGATGATTCTTCAAATTGGGGTTGGGCTAATTGGGGTGTAAGTTCATTAATTAATACTGCCACTGCTGGAGTTTCTACATTAACTAGCCATGTATCACAAGGACTTACACTTTTAGAAGAATCTATGACTATATCTGAAGAATCAAAACCTATTACAAATGAAGAAAAACAAAATAATATAGTTAATGGTATTATATTGTTTTATATTCAATACTACTGAATATACTATATGCATATTTATAAATGATATAGAATAAATATATTTAATTATTTTTTTAATTATAGCAATATCATAATTCAAATTATGAAATTATTATATTTTGATTTTAGTTACTTAATTAGTAACTTAATTTCCAGATGATAATAAAAATTATCAATTCAAAGAACAATCATCTTTTGGATTTGGAAATCTTATATCAAGTGTATCATCAATAACAAAACTAGTTGAATCAACTGGAAGCAAAGTTATGAGTGGAGGATTAGATACATTAGAAGCTATTGGTAAAAAAACAATGGAAGTCTTACAAGAAGGTGATCCAGGGTTGAAAAAAAAAAGAGCTTTCTTTATAAATGAACCAAACAAGCCAAATTTATCTCAGATTCTTCAAGAAGCTAAAGAAAAAGCAGAAAATGTTGAAAAAACAATTGAAGAAAAACAGAAAATGAGAAAAGTGCATTTTGAAAGTCTTTTTGATGATTATCAAGGACTTGTTCATATAGAAGCATTAGAAATGTTATCAAAACAAAGTAATATTAAAATACAACAACATTTGAATGGTTTAGATATAAATGAATTAAATTCTGTACAAAAAATGTTGGAAGAAGTTGAAGAATTATGTGAATTAGGAGAGGATGAAAATGATGATGAAACACACGAAAAAGATTTAAAATATAAATTAAAACAAACTATTTGTGACCTTGGAATTAACATTACATATGATAAATTGTACGAGGTAAATAATTTCTATACTATAAATAAGTATATATAAGTATAAATAAATATTATATAAATTTACTATTATATATAAAATATATTAAATAATATATATAAAATTAAATATTAATTTTTAGATTTGTCAAAATTCACAAGTTTATACAACTCAATCTATGATATATACTAATCAAGAAATATTTGAACATGCTATTTCTGTTTTGGCACAATTTACAGCAGTTTCTGTGGAAAGATTTCATAAAACTGCAGGATTACTTTTAATCAAAGAACATCGAAGCACTGTTAATGAAACTGATTCATTAGTTCAGTTAACAAATATTTTGTCTAATCAAATTGGAATATTAACTAATACTTACTGTAGTATTTTATCTAAACTTGCTGAAATTTCAGACAAATCTGATAATATTAATTCTAATATAACAACGATTTTTATGGAGGTAAAAAAATATTCTTACATTATATCTATATTATTATTATATATATGTTAAGAAATTAACTTTCATTTTTTTTAAATAGGCTTCAAATGCAAGTTCTTATATTCAACATGCCTTTAAATTATTGATTCCCATTATTCAAGTTGGTGCTATATAAAATATTGTGACTATTAAATATATTTTTTAATATTTGAATAATTATACATATATGCAGTCTTTCATATATTCTTAAAAAATAAATAATTCATTTATTTGTATTATTAATCCAAATAATTTTTAATTTTATTATATTGCTTTTCTAATATATTTCAAATAAATAAGAAAAATTTTAAGTATGTAATAAATCAGAAATTTTGAAAATAAAAGAAAAATATAAATAATTTTTATATTATGTAAATTGTATAGACTTATAATTATATATAAATAATTTTGACAAAAATTAAAGTTTTGATATAAATATAAATATAAATATAAATATAAATATAAATATAAATAGATTTTTTATAAATATAAATAGATTTTAATAAAATCACTTTTTTTACATTTTTTTTGATTTCATTATCATATTCAAATATATATATTCAAATATCATATATCAATAATAATTAAAATTAAAAGTTAATATACTTTATAAATGAAAAAATTTAATATAATATAGAATATATCATGTTGAAACAGATAGAAATCAGTAAGATAGTAAACATAAAATATTTTTAATAATTTATTAAATCTAAATAATTTCCGTTCAATTGTCTTACTTAAAAAATTGTGTATTCTGTATTTTTAAATAAATTGTATTCTAATATTTTTAAAATATTTTATGAATGTTTTTGATTTAGTTGTAAATTTTGCATCTAAATTTGAACTAAAATAAATGTAAAGAAATAATTATAAAAAACTTTTATAAAAATAAAATTAATAATTTTACATGAAATATATTTGTGCATGAAAAATATAAATATAAAAACAATAAAATATAAAATATTTAGATATAAATAAGATATTTATTCAAAAGATAAAAAAGACTTAAGTTTTTTTTTTGTTGATTTGTAATACTAATTTTTGAATTTTTTACGATTATGATATATAATTCTTTTTTTATTTAAAATATATAACTTACTTTATAATAATATTTAAAAGAATTATTCAACTAAAATAATATTATGTATTTTTAAATATGGTTATATTATTCAACATTGTATATATGAAAATGTTTATAATTATAAAAATTAAAAAATTACATAACAATTTTCGTCCTTATAAATCAAATTATTTTTTTGTATTAAAAAAAAATAAAAATATATACTATATATATTAAAATAAAAATATATACTATATATATTAAAATAAAAATATATACTATATATATTATTAAAAAATAATATTAAAAAAAATAAAATCTTAATAATATTTTGATAAGTAAACCAGAATAATTATCATATATTGCTGGAATAATAACATAATTCAAAAATTAACTTTAAATACTCTAAATTGCTATAAGCATGAAAATTTCACATTAAAATATCAAAGTGGAAATATATAATGGGGAAATATACTTATAAGATTTTATTAATAAAAAATATAGTATATAATGATGGTTTTTTTTTATACCAATAATTCACAAATTGCAAGTTTTGACCAAGTTTATATCATTACAAAAAAATATAATATGTTAAGCATATTTAATACAATAAATATAATATTATTAAAAAAATAATATTAAAAGAAACAAAATTTTAATATTATTTCATGATAAAAATTGAAACAGAATATTTATAACCATATGTTAAATATACTTAATACAATAAATAACTATAAACATAAATATGATTTAATGTTTTCCTCTTTTATTACCAATAGGAGGTTTCTGAAGTTGAAAATTTGAATTAGATTCACTCGTTGGTAAAGGTGTTGTAAAATTTGATGGAGTATTAAAGGTCAAACTTGCTGTTGGTGGTTTCAATGATGAACTTAGAGTAATATTAGTAGCACATGGTGTTGATATTGTATTTCTCCAAACTGTAACAACATATACACTAAATTATTTTGTATCTATTTTTAAAAATTAAATTAACTTGCAATTATAATTGTAATTGTCAATAAATTTAATATATCATTCAAAAAAAATAACAATTTAATAATACTGATGTCATTATGAAGTTAAAAATTTTGTTTTAATGCAACTAATATTTAATGATATTCTTAGATAATAGATAATATTTTTGTCTTGTTAAATATGTTTTAGTGATTCTTATAAATACAAAATGCTGATTCTTGCACAATAAATATATTAAAAAGCAGAAACAATTAAAGCACATATAAAATATACAGCCATCTTTTAACAAGCACAAATTTCAATTTTTTTATTGTTTATTACTTTAGAAAAATTAGCAAACAAAAAAATAAAAAAATAGAATGCCACTTATGATATTATTATAAAAATATTACGTATAATTAGTAAATGTTAAATACAAGAATTATATATTCCTTCTCATGTTTGACAGCACAAACAGAAACTAAAGAAAAACTTAGTACCTCGTAAACTAAAATAGATTCCTTACTCTTTTCCTGGAAAAGTAAAATAAAATCAAATCATCGAAATTTTCAAGTCACATTTACAAAATATAAAAATCTTAATAATTTCACTATTGCTAATTCTACAATATTTGGTAAATAATATATGTTAATAAATCTATCTTATATACCTTATATACTAAATCCAGGCAAGACCTAAAGATAGGAAATATTTATGGAATAGTTAAAATAACAAAAACGTTGTTTTAGATATTTTTTCAACAAAAAAAAAATATATATTAATATTATAAATTTATATGACAATTTCATTTACCTAGTGGATTTCGTGTTTCATAACTTCCTGGTCTATTAGAATTTAATGCTGTTGATGAAAGAAAACTTTTATTTCCTACAAAAATATATTATAATTATATATTAAAATTTATTATATATTAAATAATATATCATATTTATAAAATATAATAAATATTAATAAAAAATTTTTAAATTATTAATTACCCGGACCAAATGGAGTAGGACCTGGTATTTTTCCAATACTATTTCGTGATGTTTTTCCATCTATTTTAATATCTTCAAAAACGTTGGTATTATCTTTTAAAACATATTTTCTAAAGTTTAAATATTGTTCTTTTTGTTGCTGTACTTTTGAATGTACACCTTGTAATTTACCAGCAACAGCTACAAGAGACTCATGAAGTTTACTCATTGCCATTGTCAATTCTAAAAGCAGACAAACAGACAATATAAAATTTTGTAAATATTAATATTGAAATAAAATTACCTTGTGGTGTTAAAGTTTTTGGAGTCATCATTGTTTGTATATGTTTTTCTGTTGTTTCAATTTGAGATCTAAATAACATTAAATCATGTTCAAAACTATCAGCTAATTCCATAAAAAATAATAATGGTGCATTATTTTCATATTGTAATCCTGATGGAGTATCATGTGTTCTTTGAGCTATTTCAGCATTTTGTAATGCTTTTGCAGTATCTTGTTTTAACTTATCAGCAGCAGAACGATCTCGTTGAACAGATCCAGCTAATGTTGTTAGAAGTTCCATCAATGATGCTGTATCTTCTGCACATCGATTCAATGGTCTTGCAGAACCTCTTGCTATATCTGAAGACAGTACTTTCTGCTCTTTTACAAATTCTCTATAAATAAAAATATACATTAATTTAATTATCTTTATAATAATTATATAATTTTCAAATAATATTTTTTAAATTACTTGAACTTTTCTATTGTCTGTAATAATTCTGGTGGCCAAATATTTTCTTTAACAGCTTGATTAGTATTTTCTTGTGAAAGTCCTTTATTACTCAGAGATACATCTATTCCACCTAATCCTTTATTTATAATACTTGTAGTAGTTATAGTACCAGTAGCTAATTTTGATCCCAATAAACTGCTATTACCAAATAATGATGCTATAAATATAGAATATTAATTATATATATTTTAATTATTAATAATAATAAATTATTTTTAATTGACATACTTGTAGTACTAGGTATACCAAAGGTAACATTTCCAGTTGTAGATGTTGCAGATGGAGTACCAAATGTTAAAGTAGTACTTGCTGTTGGTGTACCAAAAGTAAGGCTACCAAATAATGGTGCAGATGTAGTTGGAACTGGAAATAAACTAGCTGAAGTTGTTGTAGTAGTTATATTTGATCCTAAAAGTAAACCACTTGATTGTGTTTGTGCAGAAGTTGCAGGTGCAGTATTGAATCCAAAACTAAGACCAGTAGTTGTTGCTGGTGTAGAAGAAGTTCCAAAAGTTAATGTTGGTGCTGAAGTACTTGAACCAAAAGGTGTACTAGTTAAATTAAAGCCTGTTGCAGGTCTAAAACATAATAGAAAATCAATATTCTAAAATATTTATATGAAAATTATTAAAGCAAATTTTAATTACAAGAATATTTATCTCATTTTCATATAGAAAGAATTTATATAAAACATAAAATTGTATTTACTTTTGTCCAAATCCAAAATTTGTGTTGCTTGAAGTTGCAGGTGTTCCAAATGTAAATGTTGACATAATTTTAATATGTAATAAATCTATAAACGTCATCAAACGACACAGTATTATATTTAAAATATTAACTTTTTACAGGTTAAATTGTTCTCATTTGTACGAAAATAGTTGCTAGAGCGCCATCTATAATATGTAAAGATGTTTGATTTAAATTTAAACATAAATGTAAGTAAGTACTACTAGTTATGATATATAATCCATATATCATTTAAAATATATATATACTATATATACAATTTTATAGAAAAATTTTTATGTAATACAATTATTTGTTTATTTATATTTATATTTAAAAAATAGAATATTTAAAATGTTTATAATTAAAACTTTATTTGAAAATATAATGTAAATATAAAAACATTATATATATGTATATATGTATATTGTATATTGTGTTTTATTAATTTGTTAATTATTATATGTTTTTAATAAATAAATAACAAATAATATTATTATTAATAATTATTTATTATATTTATATAAAACAAATATCATATATTAATTATATATGATATAATAGCTCATAAGTCAACAGAAAATAAATAAGTTATAATATTAAATAATAAAAATTAATAAAAAATTATAAATTATATAATATATAATTTTAAGATTAAATAATGAATTATTTCTAGATAATATTTCGATTTATTATTAAATGTATCTCTACTACTATATTATATAAATCAGGGGACAATACAATGTCTTTATTATTTCATAAAGTAATAAATGTCTTCTTTGTATGTACGCGACAAAGTTCTAATAATTATTCTATAGGAAATGGGATCAATTCAACAAAGTTTGCCAAATCGGTACACAGACTATCACAAAGTTCATTGCTGGTTCGGGTTCGTACATGGGCGTTTCTAAAATGATCACAGTCGTATAGACAAAAAGAATGCGTGTAAAAACAGTTTTTTTTTTTAATAATAAACTTTGTTTTTAATATTTTTAGGAATTATTTAAACTTTTCTTTACCTTTAATAATTTAATAATTTTAAATGTTATTTGCATTCATATTTTTTTGAATGTGTATTTCAGTCTCATTTAAAATGAAAAAAAAATAATTTAACGCTTGTATACAATTTAGAATACACCCGGTACGTAATATCGTACGGAGTACGAATTATTTAATAATTGTAAAATGACATCGCAATATTATATACTCTGTAATTACAAGTATATATAATGACATACCGTATTTTTAAAAATTTTTTTTTTGCATTAAGAATATATTCCTAGGTACTTTGCGATGACGTGTATCCTACATCTTTTGCTCAATTCGTATAAATATTACTAACGTTGTGCTAAAATAAATAAATAATATTCGATAATTTATAAAAAATCGATAAATTATTCATTGACTTTCTTTCATTCAATGTTGAAATATTAACGATAATTCATAAAATATTCAATAAATTACTTTACACTTCTCAAAGTTTATGCTATTTGCAAATAAAAAATGTATTTATGTTTCCCATATTAGTATCATTTCTTTATAATCTCAATATATTATTAATTTTTTTATATGTATCTAATTTTCTATTTCTTACTTTTTTCGGCTCAAGCATTATTTTAACAAAAATGTGTAAGCATATGCAAAATAATTTACGTGTACCATAAGCGATATATAACTTAATCAGCTTCATTCATTCTTAATATAATAAATAATTCATTTTATGTACAAATTGAATATTTTTTAAAATGCTCAAATCCACAAAGACAGTTTCCTAAAATACCAAACTCTTTTATTTGTTCGCCGTAGCATTTTGCATTTTCAATGACAAACGCTGCTTTCAGAATAATGATATTATTTCGTGTTTTCAAAACTTTTTAAAAGTTTTAACAATTAAAATGCAAACATTAAATATTTATCTCATATCAATTATTCTGATAGTACCGTCGGACTCTCAGGTGTTATATTCTAAAGTGGAAATATTATTTATAATATAATTTTTTCAGTAATTATATAATATTTAAAATAGAATATTTTTCTTCGAGAAAAAGTACTATAATATCATATAGTGACAACGGAATGAGCTTCTATAAAATCATTGTTGATTAAATATTCGTTATAATATTTTTTATGTTTTAGTATGGCACAGGATTATTTTTAACTTTTTTAATTATGCAGATGCAAGTTATGTTTAAAGAATAAAAGATAAAAAAAAATATATAAGAATTAGATATTATATTTAATTGCATGCTTTCTTTAGCTTTTGTATGTACAGATGAGACTTATTCTGAACAATGATATAAAATAATTAATTTCAAATTCTTACTATTTAGAATATAGCAGTCGAATCTGTTGATTCAAATTAAAATTATTATAATAATAAAAATTATTCTCTATTTTTCTTATATTTTTTTAAGAAAATGTATAATTATAAAAATCATTATTTTATCTGTAAATTAAGGCCATTTTATATAGAAACTATTGCAAATAGAATATTTCTATAAGAATAATCATTTAAATGATTAATTCGTATCTTTCATACCTAAAACTTAGATAAATTTTAGATATTGTTTTAATGTAGAAAAAATAATTTATGCTAATAAATTGATATTATGCTAATACATTATAATGTATTATGCTAAATACATTGTTCTTTTAAAATTTTTATTTTAATAACAAATTGGCTTAAGATTATCACATAGTGTTTGAAAAGGATTTTAATATTTTTAAGAGCAATATAGTTTAATAAAAATAAATAACAATTCTTAAAATTATTAGGCCATATTTAAAATTAAATCTATTTCTCAAAATAGATAGAATAAAATTTATAGAATATTACAATTTATAGAATAAAAATAATCTTTTTCTATTTTATAAAAAAAACAATATTTTAAACATAATTTATAGTAATTTATAGTATATTATAGTAGTATATTTAAATTTAAATCTTATAATAATAAAAATCAAATGTAATATATATAAAATATAAACATATATATATTTAATCCAAATATTCAGAAACTTTTATTGAATAATTGAGAAATATAATTAAATGTAAAAAATGTTTTATTTGAAGAAATATATAAATGATTTAATTAAAAAAAAAAAAAAAAACTATTACCAATAAGTCTCATAATACTTATATTCATAATTATTTTTTTTATGCATTTGAATTAAGTAAATACATTTATAATAAATATTTTGTACTATTATTGAAATAATGTTTGTGTACCTTTTCATTCATCAATATTTTAACTGTCATTTTAATGACCAAAAATGTCATTAGCTGATCACAGCATTAAATATTGTCACATCACCATATTCAATATATATAGAAAATATTAGATAAATTTTCAATCAGATCCAACTGCCATCAAAACAACATTTCAGTGCCAATTTCATTATTATCTGAAGAACATGGAACATGGCAGTTTTATGTTAAAGCCAAAGCATTGAGTTTCCATATAAAACTGGATGTTAGCTGGTTTATGATACATAATGCCAGTAAAGATCAAATATATTTTTTGATTTTGATACAAATAAGTATGAAAGAAAATTCATATAAACTTGTATCTGCAAATGCTTATCTTATTAATTATACTTTGTAGAGAATATTAATAAATATTATATTACATTTTTAAATATTAAAATTAATTAAAATAATATTAATTTTTAAGTAAATATTTCAATAATAATTCTTTTATATATATAAATAAATTTTATATATATAAACGAATTTAAATAAGTATTTATTTTAATTAAATTTTTTCTCGAAAATTGATTTCTTTTAGAAATTATTATCTTAACTATGAATGCTATTTACGCATACAAAAATAGTTTTTTTACAATATAAATTTAAAAGAATCTTTTAATATGTAAATACAAATAAAGTTGTTTAAATATTTAAAAAATATATTTTAAAATCGATTTGATTATTCAAATAATTCAATTTGATTTACTTTAATGTATTAAAATAACTCGAAAAGAATTAATTTAAATAGATTAAACAATTTAAATATTTAAACAATTTAAATTAAAATAACAAATATTAATGTTTTTTTTCGAGCTACTCTTAAATACTTGATTAATGGAATATTTGAATTGATTTAATAAAATCAAGCGATTCAAATTTTAGTTGTTCGAATATTTCGAATACTTATAGTTTTAGATACAAGATTATACAAACTTTTTCATTGTGTTTTTATAATCAATGAAAAAAAATCTCGATTTTTATTAACTCTGAATAATATACATAAAAAAGAAATTTACGAATAAGCCGATATATGTCACATTTGATACATATAATAAATATATTTAACATTACTATTTGGAACAGCATTAATAATAATTAAAATTTTTAATTTTATTTTTTTTAATATAAAATTTTAATATTAAATTAAAATACTAATGTGATAATTTAAATAAAAATATCATTTCATGCCAATGATAGAAAAATGATATATATACATATCAATAAAAAAAAAGATATATATAATATTTATTCATTTGTTTAGCAATTTTGTTGACTAAAAAAGGGAATGTAATGTGAAATTATAATTTCTTTTTTTACATAAGATCATAATTTGATAAATATATTTTTTTAAATTAGAAAAAATTATTTATATATTTTACTTTTCATGATTATTTGTAGATAAAATACATATGTATATATATAAAAATAAAATAAATCTATATGTATAAAAAAAATTTATAAACGATTGCCGCGTAGATGGCTGTTCCGATGTCATGATTACAAAATGTACAAGACTTATAAAATTGACTAACTCGTTAACTGCCACGCTTGTGTATGTATAAAGTTTAAGATATGTTTTATAAGTTAACTCAATATAAAATACATATAACAATTAGTAATAATAATTTTGCTAATAATTTACTAAAAGATTTTTAACAACAATGAAGTACATCGCACAGAATGGCAGTGAACGTGTCATATTGTAAAACTTTCAAGAAAAATTTTTGGTTCCTGTAATTATATGCTATGTACATTTTTAGCATAAATATTCCATCCAATTACAAGATAGAAACAACAAAAGTTTAGATTAGATAAAAGTTTTACAATATAACCAATATTCAAAAATTCTCACTTAAATGATTAATAATATTTTCATGCATAATATGCGATATATATTTTTTTAAGTGAGAGTTCTGAACATGGCCTGGGTATTTGAAAATAGGATTGTGAGATGCAAAAATCAAAAAAAATTTCGACACATAATTATACTCTAAACAATTCCAAAAAGAGTGTATATGATTTTCATATATTATTAATGATCATTACTTATTTCATTTAATATATTATTATTGTATAACTTTTACGCTTTGTTATTTTTTATGGTGCTTATATGTTATGTTGAGAAAATAATTTTTTTTTATATAACAAGCAATGTGTTTAATTTGTTCTTCCATAAATATTTAATTTGCCTTAAGTCTTCTTTGTAGATCAATGGTTCCCATAGAAATGCGCGCAAGTTTTAAAGTATATCCATTTTCATTGATAACGAATAATTTCTATCTAATTAAAAAAAAAAAAATATTTCTAACCACTGATCAGAATCATATTATTAATGATTAATTATTGTATTATATCCAATAGTGAGCTTGTCATAATACTAAAAATTTTCGTACAACATGAATAGCTAGAAAGCAAAAAATGTGTTATAGCTTCGGTACCAATATTTTTTCTGTACCAAAAACTTTCTAGCTTGCTTTGGTTTTAGTAAATTTTTGGATATCACGAGTATATAATAAATCTCTTACTTGACAAACGAGATAAATTTAAACATTGCCCTATTTATTATAAACCACTTATTTGTTCACGTGATTAAACGAGGACTATGTAAACCTTCAACTTGAGTGTCAATTTGTGGACAATGTTGAGTATCTGGCGGACCCCAATCATGCAAGTTTCCACTGTTTGCTAGTCTGTGCGTAAGTCGATGTGCTATTGAAAAACCTCCACTACCTTCCAATTGTGTTAAAACTATAATGACTTGTCTATAATAAAATTATTAAATTAATGATGTAGATATCAATTTCAAAAGAAGAATTAAAAAATCTAATTTACCTGTGAAGCGGGGGAACACTATCGGCAGTTCTGAGTTGTCCTCTTGTGGATACAACATTATAGCTTTCATGGCAGTCACATTTTACATGAATCCATTTATTTACATGACGATTTTCTACCATTACTACAAGTCCAGCCCAACCTTTAGTTAAGTAATAAGCAGTCATTCCTTCTCTTCCCTATAAATAAACATATTATTAATAATTACAGAATTATTTTAGTAATTATTTTATATAATTACTAAATATATTTAGTAACTATATATAATAATAATTATAATAAATATATTATATATATATAATATATTTATTATTAATAATTACAGAATTATTTTAGTAATTATTTTATATAATTACTAAATATATTTAGTAACTATATATAATAATAATTATAATAAATATATTATATATATATAATATATTTATTANTATATATATATATATATAATAATAAATATATTAATAAATATATTTTAATATAAATATATATAATGTATATTAATATTATAAACATTTCTATAATGATCATACAAGTTACAGAAATATTCTTACTTCATGTCGCTGTCCTTTTGTTAGAGTTAAACTTATTATAGCGTCAGCTAAGACAAATGCTGGTGGAGAAATTTGTTCAACTAATAATCTTTTTGAACTATGAATGGCAAGAACGTATTCAGGATAGCTAGAAGTATCTTCCATTCCTGTATGCCAATGATTAAAGGCCAAACATACAACAATATATAAATCCCTTTCTAGCATTTTATGACATCCAACAAATCCACGTACTTGTCGTTTACTATGTTCTACTAATCTTCCTACTTCTGGTGCTGCTGGCGAACGTGTACGAAAAACAACTACACACAAGTCCAATTGAGAACGTTGTGATTTTTCAGAATTCCTAAATATATATATATAATATCTTATAATTTAATATAATTACACATAAATTATATTATAAATAAAATGAAATAATAATATTTACCTCTGTCCTTCTTGAAATAATGTAAATTCTGTTTCAGTCGGCTCTAGTACCGTTAAAAGTACACATGATAAATGTCTGAGAGATGATAAAGGTGGAAGTGTTCCGCGCAATCTAACTTCACTCCATCCAACTCTAGTTTTACAAATATCAATACAATCAAAATATTTTAATACATCATCAAAAGAAATCCAGAAAACACCATCAGAAGCACCATGTGGCATAAGCATTTCTCGTAATTGCGATGTCCAGATAGGACTATCATCAGACCAATCACCCTTCCAACTGTAGTGACCCCATGGATTACGTAATCTCAATAATCGTATTCCCTATTAAGTATATTATTGAAAAATATATCTTATTTTTAAAGTTTTTAATTAAACTTGTATATCTTTTACCTGTACATCTCGTACATCAAGAACAGAATAAGCGTGCCTAAAAAAATTATATGTATATTTGTATACATATATATCATATATATTTTAAAAACTAACCAAATATAGTATAAATTTTTAACATTTTTTTTTAACATTTTCTACCTTGGTCTTAAACCTTTACGTTGATATTCTTCTTCATCAACTTTCATGTTACCACCTCCACAACTAGCACCCATTAAAAACATAGCTTGCCTTGAAGATAAAAGTTGTGCCCATATTAAATCCTTATCAAGTTCATCTTCACTTGGCAAAGCAGATGGTTGTAAAGGCACACTCTCACAGGGAGCACCTGTAAGTGTTGCTAGACCTTCTATTGCACGTCCTGATACTAAAGCTTCATAGCAACCATGAATTTTAGCCACTGCTTTTTCAATTAATGGCACCCAAAGTTGTTTTCTTTTTGCCTATATTTTATCAAAATTATAATAATTAAAAAAATAAAATTTATTATTTATGTTTAAATACCGATTTAAATATCAATAATATTAAGATATAAACCTGAGAGTATACTAGATGGCCTCTTTTATCACAGGGTAATAAGTCATCAACAAGCACTGTGGTCCATTTTCCATCTTTACATAGTCTTACTTGATAAGCTCCTTCTGGGCAAGTTTCTCTCATTACTAAAACTCTCTTTACAAGTTCATCACTTTCAGCTAAAACAGCTAAAGCTGACAGTAACCAACAATTTCCTAATACACCTTGTGAAATATCAGAAGGTAAAGGTTTTCTAAAAACAGCCCAAGGCAGTTTAGAATCAACTGTAGAATCAACATTAATTTGATGAGGCCTTCTCCATTGAACAACATGGTTATCTTTTGTTTCAGCTGGATTATAATATAGAGATTTTGGAGCTGGTGGAAATGAATCATCAACAAAAGGTTCATTCGTCTATAAAATAAATAAATTAGTTATTACTAAAAATATTTCACTTTTTAGAGAATTTTAGATTTCTCTTTTATTAACTTTGTTTTATTTACATGTTTTATTTATATATTAATATACACTTGTAGAATAATACACTTGTAATCTATTTTTTTTATCAATAATTAAATAATTTCCTAATAATTTTAATTCTTTTTATTAATAATTCAATTATTATTTTTGAGAAAATATAATATATACATATAATATTTAATATAAAGTTAAATATTTAGTCAATTTTCAAAAATAAATATATTTTATAAATAATATAATTTATAAATAATTTTATTAACATAATATAATTTTTTCATTAACATAATGATATAAAAATATAAAATTCATATGAATAAGATAATAAGATTCAAATTGATATAAAGAAATATATAATATAAAAAAAATAAAATAAATAGAAAAAAAAATAGAATAATTATAATTTATATATTTAAAAACGAATTAATTTCGATATATTGTTTTTTTTCTATTATTTTTTTTCAACTATAAAATACATATAATTTTAACATTAAATACATATAATTGTTTTCATTCATTTTACACATAATAATAAATTTTATGTTAATAATTAATTAATATACCTCCTTGCAATAGCGAACAATTCGTTCCCATTTTTCCAATGCTTCTCTTTCTTCAATTTGTCTTAAATTTTCCATAACTACACTTTCTTGCCGTTGCATTGTAAGAGTACTTATGCCAGATTCAATTCTAGGCCTTTCAACTGGTAGTTGAGATAAATTTTTTGAGATTTGGCACATTTCACAAATTCCATTTGTACTCTTATTTTCATATGTGCACAATTTACATTGCCACTATAAAAAATAAAAAATATATAAATTTGTAAAAGATAAAAAGTAAAGAATTAATAAAAAAAATATTAATAATATTTATATTAATAAAAGTTTATGCAGTTATTTATAGTTATAAAAAAATCATACTTGGCCATGAGTAGAATCTTTAATTCTTGAATGTCTTTTATCTCCAATTGAAGAACTGTTTCTTCTTACAGAATTTTTATGTTTTGAAGTAACAATTTTTGAATTTATAGGAGTCGAACAGAGTCTTGGACTTGGACTTCTTGATCCAAAAAATTTGCTATCTTTTGGTATATCTAGAAAATCTGCTAATGTCTTACAAGCATTACAAGTTTGTGTTGATAGTGGATTTCTTAATGTACATGATGGACACACCCAGCTTTCTCCTTTTCGTAATGTCGCGTCTTCTAAATGCATAATACTTTTAAGCTTTGAACCACCACATGCCTCACATGTTGTTCTTGAAGCAGCATTTAATAATGTACATTTTTTACAAGTCCATACAGGAGAAGGTGGATCAATTTGATCATCTAAATCAGATTCAGCTGTAGCCAATGTAGCAGTTTTTTGTGGAATGTATCTTACACTATCTCTGGATACTACAATTGGAGATTGTGTATGCATTGAACAATTTGTTTCATCTTTTGTGACAGTTATTAAACTAGGTTGCATTAATGAAGGCGGTGATCGAGAAGATCCACATATATCGCAACCTGTTGACCATAAAGGATTATAGGCGTAAGAACATTTTCGACACGTCCACATACGTTTTAATGAATTTACATTTGGTACATCAACAGGACTAGTTGCTTCACTATGTGCTTTTGTGGGTAAAAGACCTAATTTATTATTTTGTTTTTTTGGCAATGGTGGTGGTATATCAGGATCAGTAATTCCAATATAAGAATATTTTGGCTTTGTACTAAAACCAACAGAATGAGGTGGTACTGCAGGTGGTTCATCTTCATTGAGACTTCTACGATTGACAATTTTTTTCTGAGATATATTTGTAACAGATTCAACATCGGAAAAAGAACGTCTATAAGAAAGTGAACCTGCAGAAGATAGAGCTCGTGGTTCCCAGGCAGGTACACTGATAACTACTCCACTGCAAGGAGCTGGACTTCTAGGAGCTTCACATGCTTCACATTGTTCTAGGCCAGGAGCATTATCAAGAGTACAATTATCACAACTCCAGAGAGCATCATCTTGTTGTGATTCGGAGACTACTAAACTTGTTGGTCTTTGAATTGCATGTTCAGATAACTTATGTACAACAGATCCATTAGATAAAGAGCGACTAACTTTGGATTTAACTCGTTCATAAATTGAAGGACTATGTCTTTTTGGTGAACGTTGAGAGGTATCAGTAGTATTTGTAAAAGAAAGTGTAGTAGATTCCATAGTTTCTATTGATGGTAAAGTCCAGTCTTCTCTGTCTTGTCTCCTTTCACTACGGCTTATACTTGTTAATTGTGCCATATCTATAAAATATAAATAAAATAATATTAATAAATAAATAAAATAAATCTCATTTTATTTGAAGCATAGTAATTTTTATTAAAATTCTAATTAAATATTTATTATATACCTTTATTAATAATTTTTGCATCATTTGTAGAAGAATTTGTATTGAAATCATCTAAACTATTCGCCAGAAGTTCAGACAATTCAACTTTAAGGCGATTTGTTTTACGTAAATTTAATTTTTTGCTTCTACGTGCACCAATCTGTTTTTTGTCAATTTTAGCTATAGAAGAATTTGCATCACAAGCTATGCAAATTATACCAGAACTGCAATTGTTGTCTAATAGACAACGAACACAAGTCCATTGTGTTACTAAGGAAGGTAGAGAAAAAGATCGTTTAACTAATTCCTTTTTATAAGATTTTCCCTTCCATAAATCATGATGAGATTTCTTTGTATGATTAGATAGAATTAAATTCTCCTCTGAGCTAAAAATTAATATAAAAAATAATATAATAATTAATAAATAATATAATAATTAAATAATATGTGAAATAATAAATATCTGAAAAATATTTATATATAAAATTAAGGAAGAGGAAAGAGTTAAAGAATGTATAAATTTTTTTTTATAATATAATTATGTATTTAATTATCTTTTAAATATTATTTTAATAAAAATTTAAGAACTATCTAAATATAAAAAAAATAAATATTATCAAAATATATACTAATTTTGATAGTAATCTAAATATAATATATTGATAATAAATGAAAGTCTATATTTGTAGATGCAATAATATTTGTCATATCTACGTTTATGTGAACATGCAACAAATAAACATTTGTATTATATTCCCCTTACAAACCATTGTTTTGTGTGAGGTACAAATCCTTGGCACAAATTAAACTTGTTCAGTGAGAGGTAGAGGAAATCTCATACTAAAATACCTTGCTCAAAAAATGAGATATTGCACCAAAATGATTGCACTGATAAAAAATAAGTATTAGACTTCAAGAGAATTCCACAAAGTTGTGGAGTTTGGTAGACTGTGTACAAACACGCGAGAAATCGAAGAATGATAAGAGGGGGGAGAAAGGAGAAAGGGTTGTGAATAGATAGAGAGAAAGAGAAAGATAAAGAGAGAGAGAGAGAGAGAGAGAGAGAGAGAGAGAGAGAGAGATGAGTTAACAATTTTCTCACCAATGTATGAGATCGGTTTTGACGTATTCATAAGCTGTTGGACATGTATTGTCCACTGGTAGTTTCTTCAAATGAAGTTTCGGTAGAGATGTTGGTAGAATGGAGACTGAGGAAGAATCACCTTCCTCGTCGTTTCTTTGCTTTCTCTCTTCTTTTTGTCCTGGAATTTCGTGCTTCAAACTCAGGTTGAACCTGAGATTTGCCTTTTCATCACTCCTAAAACGAGTAATGCCGCACCTGGCACATCGCGTGCTCTCCGTTGGATTTATCAGAGTGCACTCCGAGCAATGCCACTGCAACACCGATGCGAT